TGGGAGGGTGGGGAGGTGACACTCAGGGCTGGTGACACCGTGGGGACTGGGCACAGCTCAGATTTGATGATCCCAAAGGGTTTTCCCAGCCTAATCCCAGGATTTTTGGGCTGTCCCCAAGCCGGGTTCCAGCAGATCTACCTGGAAATGCCTCCTGGAAACGATGACCAGGCCTTGGACAGGGCCTGGGAGGGTTCGGAGGCCCAGGGAAGGGCTGGAGGTGACACTCAGGGCTGGTGACACGGTGGGATTTGATGATCCAGAGGATTTTCCCAGCCTAATGCCAGGATTTTGGGGCTCTCCCCAAGCCGGGTTCCAGCAGCTCCACCTGAAAATGCCTCCTGGAAAGGGTGGGTTGGCAGGGGCTGCTCAGGGAGGGTTGGAGCTGCCATCCCTGGGGGTGACACTCAGGGTTGGTGACACGGTGGGGACTGGGCACAGCTCGGATTTGATGATCCCAGAGGATTTTCCCAGCCTAATCCCAGGATTTTGGGTTTGTCCCCAAGCTGGGTTCCAGCAGATCTACCTGGAAATGCCTCCTGGAAACGATGACCAGGCCTTGGACAGGGCCTGGGAGGGTGGGGAGGTGACACATCTGGGTTGGTGACACGGTGGGGACTGGGCACAGCTCGGATTTGATGATCCCAAAGGATTTTCCCAGCCTAATGCCAGGATTTTTGGGCTGTCCCCAAGCCGTGTTCCAGCAGATCTACCTGGAAATGCCTCCTGGAAACGATGACCAGGCCTTGGACAGGGCCTGGGAGGGTGGGGAGGTGACACTCAGGGCTGGTGACACGGTGGGATTTGATGATCCCAAAGGATTTTCCCAGCCTAATCCCAGGATTTTGGGGCTCTCCCCAAGCCGGGTTCCAGCAGCTCCACCTGGAAATGCCTCCTGGAAAGGGTGGGCTGCCAGGGGCTGCCCAGGGAGGGTCAGAGCTGCCATCCATGGAGGTGACACTCAGGGTTGGTGACATGGTGGGGACTGGGCACAGCTCAGATTTGATGATCCCAGAGGATTTTCCCAGCCTAATCCCAGGATTTTGGGTTTGTCCCCAAGCCGGGTTCCATCAGATCTACCTGGAAATCCCTCCTGGAAATGATGACCAGGCCTTGGACAAGGCCTGGAAGGGTTGGGAGGTCCAGGAAAGGGCTGGAGGTGACACTCAGGGCTGGTGACACGGTGGGATTTGATGATCCCAGAGGATTTTCCCAGCCTAATCCCAGGATTTTGGGGCTGTCCCCAAGCCGGGTTCCAGCAGATCTACCTGGAGCCGCTGCTCAAGTTCCACGAGAGCCTGCGGCGGCTGCGGCTGCACGAGGCCGAGTACGTCCTGCTCCAGGCCATGCTGCTCTTCTCGCCAGGTGAGACTGTCCCCGYGGGGAGGGAGGGGACACGGGGACACCCYGCTGTCCCCAAGGYCCYGCTGATGTCACCCCAYGCCCCCCAGAGCACGTTGGCATCGCCCAGCGCGATGTCATAGACCAGTTCCAGGAGAAGGTGGCCGTGACCCTCCAGAGCTACATCGACCACCAGCACCCCCCGCCCGAGGGCAGGTGAGCGCCAGCACGGGGTGGCACTGTCCCCAGGGCGGTGGGGACAGCCACCAAACCCAGCTGGGTGTCCCCTGTCCCCTCCCCAAGGTTTCTGTACGCCAAGCTGCTGCTGCTGCTGACGGAGCTGCAGACGCTCAAGGTGGAGAACACGCGGCAGATCCTGCACATCCAGGACCTGTCGGCCATGACGCCGCTGCTGTCTGAGATCATCAGCTGAGTTTGTCCCCAAGTGTCACCCCTGGGCCTCTGATGTCACCCCCCGGCCCCCAAAGGGCACAGAGTAAAGCTCCTTTATTTATCCGGGCTCCCGCGTGTGTCAC